TGAAGTGCTCTGTAAACAGTAGCAGGTGAGCGTTCTGTCCACAGAAAGCTGGAGAACTGACCGAACCTTTTCACCACCTCTACCTAAACACATGAACCTATTCCACAGCAAGGACAGCGCCGACCCACCTCTCGTCTCCTCTACGGCCAGCTTGTCACAGATCTGTTTCTCGTAGTTGTTGAGGTGATCGAGGGCCTCCTTGTACAGGCCAGCCTCCCTCAGGACCTGGTTCTGATAAAGCAGCAGCTCACTGTACTCGTAGTCCACCTTATCTGGAGACGTCTGAGAATGCGCACATACGGGAGAAAAGCATATAAACACAGGTGGAGCTCTTGCTGGTTTCTCCAAAGTGACCTACCCCAGCTTCAAGACAGCAGGAATCAAACACTGGATTCAATCAAACCATGAAAAAAAAGGATGAAATGCACGTTATATGTTATCTTGCCAACAGAGTCTATTTCAGACCGCATCCTGTCAGTCTGGAACGATGAGTCCAGTTACAAAAGAGCACAGTGAAACCTCCTGTGATGTTTAAATGGTGCTTTAGTCTTGTTGTAGCGGAGCTTATATTTGCCTTTAGATACGTTTAAAGAAATCTTTACAGCGCTGTTGATTAGACAGCTTTGTCCTACCTGCTGTGTTTTACGGAACTCCTCAACAATCTTGGCAGCCATCTCAAAGTCCTCTAACAGGTGATAGGCTACAGCGTATCCGATCCACGAGGCCCGCTGGGCCGGACGGAGCTGCAGCAGCTGGTACCGAGTCTCCTGGAGAAGGAGACCATGACAGCACACACACACACACACAACTGTAAGCAGTAATATTTAAGCTGAATTATCCTGTCCACCACTGACTTGTCTATCTCCACCATCACTTCACACATCACAGCAGGATGGGAAACTGTCTGACCCCAACCCCCTTCCTCCCTCGTCACACTGTGTCCCTCCATCCAGACCTTATTTCTGGGCGGCTCTATTTTTAAACCCATCTGTTCTCTCTGGCGACCCTCACCCTGTATCCCTCCAGATCTCTCATTTGGATCTGCAGCAGGGAGAGGTCACGCAGGATCTGCAGGTTGTCCTTGTCCCACTTCAGAGCGTTGCGGTAACACTTGATGGCCTCGTCGTATTTCTTGTCCGAGCGCTGCAGCAGGCCATACACATGCCAGCCTGGAGGATGAGCCAGTTGAGGAAGCAAAACCCGCATGGACACACTACCCAGGTGTTTGTGTCAGGTGTTTTCCAAATGTAACAAACACACATCCACTAAATGAAAAGACTGGTTTATATCCTCAACAAAAGAGCAGCCAAGCAGAAAAAGTTCAAAAGCAAGTTCTGGAGGGTGCTGCAGAGTGTATGCTGTTGTGTAAGATGAAATGTGTGCCCCCCGCGGGCGGGATGAAAGGATACAGACGTGGCTCTTGAGGTCGTTGCGTAGGCCTCGTCTCACCAGCTCGTAGGCCTCCTCCTTCTTGCCCAGACAGTTGAGGGTTAAACCCTTCATGGCCAGTGTCTCTGGAGCACAAACAGGAGGAGCGGGGTTACACTGACCCTGTTTACCAACTAGGGCTGCACAATATATCATTTCTGCATCGTCATCACAATGTGCCCATGCGCAATAGTCACATCGCAGAACAGTGCAATGTCAAGAAAGTCAAATTAACTCAACCACCAACTTTTTCGCTACTTGATACAAAAGGAAAACTCGCACGGTTCTCATTTTCCATGTCTAATCTACATAGTAGTCTGACTCAGATTTAAGGGTTCTGAGATATCCAGAGTTTGTTGCTAGTGAGTGACAAGCAGACTCTGCATGCACAGCAAGCCACCAATCACAATATTGTTCTTGATCAGTTTATCAAACTAAGAAAGCAGGCCCCGCCCCCGTTAGCTGTCGACAACAACAAAAATAACTGAGGAACAGGAAAAAACCACCGAAACAGTGGATATGGTTGAAAAAAAAAAAAAAAAGCATTTTGTAAACCACTCAGGGGGCTGGGTGTATAGCTGCTCTTTTTCTTTATTATTTTGTATTTTGTATTTATTATCTCATACTATACACAATACTAATAAAATACTAACTTACAGGATCAGTTTAAGTTGTTTGTTTATGTTTTTTGAAAAATGAATATCAATATATAGCAGCTGTGTTTTTTTTAGCTCTAAAATATCAGTAGTAGACAGTAGACAGTAGTCCCAGTCACCTTCAGCCTTGAGCTGGGATAGGACAGTTCAGCAATGCACAGAGCCAATAAAAACTCTTCACAGCCTGTCAAAATCCCTACCGTTTGTCTCACTACACCCTGGAAATGAAAAGTACGTACATCAAACTTTATTTCCAGCTGTATTTAGACATTATAAACCTCAACATCAAAGTGAATTTTTTTTATAATTCACAACAATTAGCGCAATTTTATTGGTAAAACACCAGGTCTGGATAAGTGATCAGCCCCCTACATTAACCATTATAAACCGGTTCAGGTAAAATCAATCACCTTCCAGATCACACACCAGGATAACTGGGCCCCACCAGACAATAATTGCAGTGGTTTTGATTACTTCAGAATAAAACCAGCTGTACTTTCAGGAATCCACTTCTAGTAGTACCTGATAACTCCAAGAATACACCATGGTTACAAAGGTGCTTTCAGGGGGCTTCAGGATAAAGTTGTGGAAAGGCACAAGTTAGGAGAAGACTACAAAAATCTCTCTTTAACTGTCCCTCAGAGTACCTTTCAGAGCGTTACTAACAAGTGGACTGTGTACGGCATCACCAACACCATGCCTACATCAGGTCCTTACAAACTAGGTGTTGGGATGAAATCCTCAGAGCCAGTGTCAAGCCCCACCCACACTACAGCATTTTGGTTCTAAAAAACGGCGAAAACAAACACCTAAAAAGGAGAAGTGTGGAAATGGCGGCGACCCTGTATTCGTTTTAAAACTCCAGGTAGTGTTTTTGTGCCGACCGGACTTTAGAAACGATAACGAAGACGCTCACGTTTGGCTCTCTGATTGGGTCTTATAAGTCATACAAAGCAGAAACATGATGCTACTGACAGATGCTACTGACAGAGTTTTTGATTTGGTATTTTTATTAAAATATTTCGTACCGTGCAAATAACACTTACAGCCTACACTTGTACTGTGCATGTCGCTGTATTTACTTTGTGACGACTTCCAGTCTGTCACAGCCGCTTTTAACTCCCGTATTACATTCAGTAACAGCCCCCAGCTCGTTATTAAAAAAAAAAATCTGCTGTGGTTCTTTGTCTCCATTTCTTTATTCTTTCATTGAATCTTCTGTAACTACGGAACAGACCATCTGCTTCATGTTTACACCAGCACACGCAAGCCCAGTGTACGTGAACGACCAACAGATGTGCGTTTAAAGTTGTTTTAATGTAGATGGAGATCACCTCTGATACGCAGCTGAAACGCTGGTGTGGACACGGACACACACACACCATATTCGTTTTAAAACTCCATTTTTAAACAAAAAAAAGTTCTTGGATGACATTGATGCCACTGACTGGCCCTCACGTTCCCCAGACCTGAATCCAGATGAGAACCTCTAGGGCGTTATGCATCATGCATCCGACGCCGCCAAGTAGCGCCATAGACTGCGTAGGAGCTCAGACCTGATCCAGGTCTGGGAGGAGATCCCTCAGGACACCATCTGGCGTCTCATCAGGAACATGCCCAGATGGGCCGTACACACTGCTGAGTCACATTATGAGTTTCCCAGATGAAAGTCACACAGGTTGGATCAGCCTGAGAACTTCATTACTTCCCCCTGAACTACACTATATGGCCAGAAGTATGAACACATCCAAACATTATAGCCATAGCTGAACAAGACCAGATGTACTCCAAAGTATGTGAATAGTACTGCCTCACACTACATTTACACTTTCAATTAGACTAAATGAAAAATCAAATCACATCCTTCCAGCCATGACAACAATCATCATATACGTCCAAAGGATCCTGCTCTGTTATGCACATAATAGATCAATTTCTAGTAAAACCATAAGCAGTGGTTCTCAAACATCTGTTCACTTTATTGATCATTTATTGAACATGTTATATTGGTATTAGAATAAGAAGATATATTTTTATACTTATTAATTAAAAAGGGGAAACTCAATATTTTCACTCTGTTATTATTTACACACATGTCAGAAAGACACACATGCACAAACAGGACCCATAGCAACACAGAGATGTCAGAGTGAGGGGACTGCCACTGGACCGGTGACCCTCCTGTTCCCAGCCTAATCCTTACAGACTGAGCTACTGGCGCCCCAAATTGAGGAAAGCCCAGTCCTAATCTCAAACCAACATAAGATTTTTCCTTGTTGCCAGGGATCCATCCATTTTACTTCACAAAGCTTGTGTAAGAACTAGTAGGTTCACCACTCAAACACAGCAGGAACAAGGTGACATGCTGTCGCTCACAGTTTCCTTCTAGTTAGGTGTGAGGGGGCAAGTCAAGTAGCTCGTGTCTTACCTCCATGCTCAGCAAACTTTGGGTTACCCAGGATCTGTTTGCAGAACTTCAGGCCGTTTCTGTACTGCTTGTGCTCGTAACATCTCTGCAACAAAAGCGAGAGCAAACTTTACATCAGGCATCTGAGGGGCCAGCAGCCGGTCATTCTCCGCTGCACTAATCCTCAGAGAGCCGGGTTAAAAGTGAATGAAAAGGACATTATTGCCAGTGTGCTGAATGCAAACGCAGTGTTCCAGTGAGCAGCAGAAATACCAGCGTCTTCCTGCTGAGAGCAGCCAAGCATCTATACACCAAACACTGCCTCCTTGGTAGAGGGCACTGAGATAAATGGAAGCAGCAGCACTTGATGATGGAGGGCTGTTGATGAGATGTAATCAGACAAGCAGCCAGACGGATGTGCCTGGCTCAGAGCCCCGCCAGCGGAAAACCTGCCAACTCCACTACAATAAGTGCACTCAAGTCCCGGACCGACAGACCTCCGGATGCCCAGGAGTAGTATTAATAGTATAAATTGTTAGTATTGTAGTCACACTGTGCAAGCTAGCTGCAGTCAATGACACAATAGTTAGACTTTACTTTTGGCGTGTTTGATAAGGGGGATTTAAATGTGACTTTAAATGATTTAGTAACCAACTCGCTCTTTTCTATCCGTGGCATGTTGTGAAGAAGAAAGTTAACTGTTACAATTCCAAATTAGTAAATGAAATTTGGCTCGAAAAGTACCCTGCAGGTGCCGGGGCTAACGTTAAGTTTACTGTGTGCTGAACTACTTTGATCGCATGTACGGGACAAATTTTGGTTAACCTTATTGACAGCGCAGCCGAATAAGTTACGTTTAGCGATGAACTAGAAAGCTACCTCAACTATCCACCTAGGTTGTGTGTGATTCTCATGTGTCAGGCAGCTTTGTCACTGATATACTTTGGATGTGTTGTAAGGCCAAAGCATAACTTAGGACACCACATGACTGGTTGCTAACCAGCTAACGTTATACTGTTTACTTAAATGCTTTGTTTCAACTTACACGTCTTAACAAAGTCGAGGTTATTACAATGCGTTTGGTGTAACGTTACTGAATATTTTGGTTAATCCACTAGCAGCTCCCTGGCTACTTGCTCTGACTGCTGCAACTAACGGCTACTTGGCAAACTAGCATTAGCCAGCAAGCTAACGCTGTCTCAGGCATTTAGCCTACCAATATTCTCTTGAAGAGAGCGTTCTCCTTCGGCGGTAGGGTGATTGAGGGCATTGTGTTGGCTTCCTATGCCTCTGTCGGTTCACACATGAATAATATCCTCCTGGAGTCAGAGATGCTGGACTGTCTCAGGCTCCTCTCTCTCACGTGTTGAAACCCAGGCCCCCTTCCGAGCAAAATGGCCGATGTGCTTCTCCTCCGGGTCAGGCTGCGCTCTGAGTCTGCGTGCCTAACACGGCCAAGGAGGGAAAAGATGCATTAGACAAAACGGTATTTTGAAAATAATGACATGACACGGTGTTTTATTTAATGATACGTCATTTACAATTCACCCGGATACGTTCCAAAATAATACAACTCTAAAATAATACGTTTTGGCTGGAGAGTGCAGGTAGTTACGCTCCTGTATCCTGTGCACTGTCTCGAAAGTCGCACACCAAATTCCATTGAAATTTCTATACATTTAGCACTGCCTTGCTTCTCGGCTAATGATCCCTCTTTGTAAAATATTGCATTAATTATATGGATATGTTGTAAAAGTAGGTAAAGTTACACAGATAACAACACATCAAGCAGCACTTCACATATAATAGGACTCTAGTATCCTCAACCAAGAAATTAATTTGGTGGAAAAAGATAGTGGGGATTTTCTTAATATAAGTTAATGATTTTTCAAAAAAAACATAATTCTGGTTACCTTAATGTAACTTAAGCCAAAATAGTTCGTCATAGGGATTTAAACATTTTCTTAATGCATGCCCTGTTACGTACATGTTCACCGAGGATTCATGTTTGATGGTAATGATGGTGACTGAATAATGAAAATACAATCGCTTCACATTTGTAATATCAAGATATTTGTTGAGTATAAAAAGACAAATGTCATTAATAACAGTTCCCAAGAGTGTCCGAGCGACTTATCGGTGTTGCTGCCATCACCTACTCTCTCCTTGCAGGAAGCTTAATCAACCGCGGAGTGGCAGGAACGCAAATCGAACGGAGCTGTCATTTCACGTTAGCTAAATGACTTTCGACCGGTTATTATCTAGAGCTGTTCATTTCAGCAAAGGTAAGATTCTGACATAAATGGTAATTAATTCACGGTCATGATATTAAAAGACATGCCTTTTATCCTGATATTTACAACGAGAATGTCGTGTTTATTTTGAAGTCTGACCTTAGCTTAGCATTCTTGTAGCCCTGCAGTCGCAAGAGCGATTATTGGATCCTCATCTAAAGTTGTGCATTTCATGGCAGTGCATATTAGTATATTCATACAGTGTTTATCAAGTTAGCAATGTAATGCAATTTTACAGTGCTTTCTGAACTTTTGCAATCATGCTGCTCACCTTTGTGGAAACCCCACATCATTTTAGTGTGGATAGGAACAATTCTTCAGTTAGCTAGACGGTCCAGTTTGTTCCACAGCCGTCTTCCACCAAAACATACAGTGGAGCGTAGAGAGCCAACTAAATTAAATACAGTATTATTGAAATGGAATACGGTCAGGCTAGGGTTCGTTCTTCTCACACTGATTTGGTAACGTTACTTCCCTTCATGGCTGTTCTGAGTACTGACTGCCAATGCCAAGACAATATTCATTTTTAATTGAAAACAGTGTGGTTCCTCAAACTCTTTTGGTATTTTTTTCAGTTGGATCCAGGTCTGTATTCACAAGCTCCAAGCCGGACACTGCTAACCCCAACTGGTTTCGAGTGGGTCTTGCCTTTGGAACATCTGCTTTCCTCTGGGCCCTGGTAAATAACACACTATTTCACACAGAACATTTTGATTACATATAATCTATATTAAAAAAAAAAGGTCAGTGTTATGGGTAAATCACTCAGGGTTTCTTTTGGCCCATTGAGTTTATCTCTCATTAGTATGAGAGGAGACTCTGTTAACCCATCATGACTGTATTACATGACTTACTGCAAGATAGTAATGAGGGAAAGTTTGAGCACACAGCACTTGGTCCACCATGCAGCACTTACTGTGTCACAAATGGCGCTTTTCCATTACCAGTACCAGCTCAACTCGCCTCGACTCGACTCTACTACACTCGGTTTGGCCCTGCTCTGTTTTCCATTGCAGATAGTACCCAGAGATAGTACCCTTCAATGTAGCTGGTCGTCATAGAGACGCCACACACAACTGCCCTGACGTAGTGTTCAATGCGACACACACACCAGCGACCCACACAGCTTTTTCTTTTTTAAGTTAAAACGTTTCAACATTCCTCAGAATTTCAAGACAGATAAGCGGTATGAAAAGCTTCCAGCTGTGTTTTCCTCTGCAGTTGTTGCTGGCCTCTGTCTGGCGCGCAATGATGATGCAGTGAATAGTGACGATCAGCAGTCTGCTGTGTTTTCACGTCAAATTTTAGTATACACACTTCTATATCATTTTGGTTTCCTTATTTTGTTGTAAAGATGCGGCAATTAAAAGCTCTCTCAAAATCCACTCATTAGTTGTTGATCTGCGGGACGTAGCTGAGTATGAAGAATGTTCTGATATAGCCAGTTGGTACATCTAAATGACCGGAGGTATCTGTCTTCCACCCGCAGCTCTTCAAGCAGCACAGCACAGATGTACATGAGTACAAAGTGAGGAATGGCCTGGAATAACCCATCACACTGGAATGTGAGTGTCTGTTTAGATGATAATAAAATGAAATATGAATAAAAGCATTTTACCATTATTATGTGATACGTTTCTTGTCCTGTGTAGGTGGTCGTCTGGACCAGTCTAAAGGAAGCACCTGTTTGTCCGCTTGTTTCTGTTCTCCGCTGTTCCTGATTCCAAACTCTGAATTCTGTGTAAAATAAAAGAAACTACCATGTGAAATATACATTAGTCATGATCATTTTGTTCACTGTTTCTTTGGTATTGGCATTGGTACTACCAGGAGTAGTTAAGCATATTTTAAATGTTTGAATTCTACTTTTTAATGAATGAACCAAATATCAGTATATAAACTTCGGTTGGTTCACATTTGCCTGAAATATAACAAAACAGGTCACTTCTTGTCAGTGTATCGCCACCAAATAACATCAACATCACTTGTCTTCTGGTACAAGTTAAATTGTACACAGCTTAGTGACCTAACATTAATAATGTACATTATGTGTTTTTGTAAACGGTTTAGCCTTCACTTTACCTAATGTAACCCCATGCATACACAGGCAGAACATGTATTGAAAACTAGTTATACGTTTCTCAGAAGGATAGGGTTTTTTTGTGAAGCGTATTCTACAAGTAAATGGACAGCTCTCTGACAGAAACAAAATACTACTGCTTTCCAAACCGTCCTCTTTGTAATGACTCTATGCATTTTTAGTTAATAAATGTGGAATTAGAAAGCAGTCTCTACCATGAAACGTATACAGAGCTGTGGCAAACATGGAGGAAAACAGTTACCTGAGTAAGTAAAATATGAAATATTTCACTTTGGTCAGTTTAGATGCTGATATAGTCCTTACTCTTCAATACCACTGCAAAACACATTTTTTGGACTGCAAACAGGGTTGACTGAATGTAATGTTAATGTTGTTTTATATAGGGTCCAATATGGTACTATGTAGTATCATTTTCACTCATTTAATTTTGTTCAACACTTTTAATACTTTATTGGAGGGGAAACTTGAGCACACATATTCTGAGATCTGAATATGAATACAAGTGGCATTTGACATTTCAAGACCAATTTACTCTTAACTAATAACCGTTAGCAGTTACTGTTCACACCGGCATTAGCGCAGTCTGTGGGACTTGCTTGTGAACCGGAGGGTCGCTGATTTCAGTCCAGCACTGACCGCTGCCGTAGGTGCCCCCGAGCAAAGCCCTGAACCTCTGCTCCACAATGGCTGCCCACTGCTCCTAATTAGGATAGGCATTTATTGGCTGAGCAGCCAATAAAGTTGATTATCATTTAATCTATCTATTTATATAAGGAGTAAACTTAAGTGCCACGCACGGACATTTGTTTGCTGTTTAGTATTTACACATAGAAAATAACAGCCATGATTCTCTGTCTTCTACGGAAGCCCTAAGCGGCCATTAGGGTAAATTTATTTTCACTCCGTTTTCCCGTGATCACGGGATGATTATCTTGTGATCTCGAGATAACGAATGTCGTTTTCCCGTGATAACGGGATCCTTTTCTCATGATTTCGAGATAACAAAATAGTAGTTAACAGTGGTTTAATGGTAATTTCAGTGTAAATATCAATGTTGCTGGTTAGCTCAGTTGATAGAGCACAGGAGTCATACTCTTGGAGTTGTGGGTTTGATCTTTACTGATCACTAATGCTCACAATAAAGCATGTGCTGGACTGTGTTCATCCATCAACCTATGGACTTTCCATTTCCCCATCATTCCCAGGCAGAGGAAATTCATTCATTCAGGGGAATCCATTTAACATTACACATTTCCGGAGGACTATTTCGGAACCTTTGAAATAGCCATTGAGAAATGTGTGATTGGATTCCCCTGAATCTCTTTATAAGAACTTTGTTGAAGAGAATAATAAAAAACACACTAAAGAAGAAAAAGTCATTGAAAGCAGGGCTTGAACACACAGTCTTAGATTACAAGTTCTGCACTCTAGCAACTGAGCTAACCAGACCCACTGGACACAAAAGAAACGCACCGGCCAACCCCTGTATTTAGCGACGATTATCCCGGTCAGAAAACAGAGTAAAAAAAAGAAATTTGAATGGCTGCTTTGGGCTTCCGTAGTCTGCTTTTCTATGAAATAAGTCCCATCATTTTTCCTGTAATTAGTTCTCACACAGCCCCTTCACTCTCCTCCTGAGCCTGCAGAAACTATGATAGTAAAATTTAATTTGAACAATATGGTCTCCAAAAACAATAATAAAATATGCACACTCTGTTTCAAAAGGACTTTCTAGCAGTACCAAGTGCTTGTGCGTTCTGGAACTTTTAAGTTGGAGATATATGCTGAGTGTGGACTCTTTCTCTCAAATATATGTTGGTGACTAAAGTCAGGGAAATGTCCATTCGAAGATTCAATTCTGCATCATTTCTACCCTGTAAAATCCTTTCTGGTGAAATTTAATAAAGATATGGTTGTTATGTGCTCTTTCTGTGATCTTCATGTAGAAACAATAGCTCATTTATTCTGGCATTGTACTTACACTAAGAAACTATGGAAAGATATATGTAGATTTGTGATTGATAATATTTACAGTGATTTTGAACTACTGTATAAAAATGTCATTTTTGGTTTTGTGAATGTTGATTGTAAGCTTAAAGACAAATATTTTTTGATTAACCTTATAATAATTTTTGCTAAGTATTATATCCACAAATGTTTACTAATGCCAAACCAATATTTACCTTACTCAGGAAAGAAAAAAATCATACGAATGATAAACTCATCCCAAAACAATTGAATTTATGTACTTGGACCTCCACACTTTTATTTTATTTTAGTCATATTTATTTTATGTATTCTTTATATTTTCCTTGCTATGTTTTTATTCCCCTGGCAAGTTCTCTATGCTCTGTACTCATACTGTTTATCTCTATGTTGTATTGAAGCAATAAAGTTTATGAACTGAAAAAAACCCCACTCCCTTCACTGTGGAATTAATCACTCCTCTCAAACATCATCTTTAGTCTCTGTGGCATTAACCACTTCTCTCAGTCATCTTCCGTCTCTGCCGTGGTGTTAAAGACTCTTCATACATTGGAGCTTGTCGTAGTGGCATCAACCACCCTTCATACACGGGCACCGGACAACATTGCGCAACAGAGGGCAGGTCTGTTCTCCGCCTCCACGCACGTTTCTCTGACTAGATCACACCAGCCATTCTTCCAGCGTTTGCTGAAGCATTTCCACCGTAGCCCCTCGGAGAGCAGCGATGTTTTCCTGCAGAGCGGCCTGGCAAAGGTGTGGGCCTTTGGCTCGGAGAGCCCCCCACAGGTTGCCCCGGGATGGTGAGTGTCATCAGGCTGCCAGGGGCTGAACGTGACGTTCTCTGTTTGTCGTGGGTCGCCTCTTGACTGTAATCGGTGGAATAGTACACGTTGTCCTCATGTGGATTTCTCTGCATTGCTGCATCCCCAAACTGACGGAGGGCAATGGCTGCCCATGGGATGTGAAGGTCAACTTGGCTTTTTGGCTGAAGTTGGGCAGAAAGGGTGTTGTGGTGCATTTTGGTCCCTCGTATTTAAATAGTGTGATTTGGTAGACAGTACAATGCGGTTGCACCTCGTGGTATTCTTTGAGTTCTGGTTGGAGTATTTCATAATGACACCAAACAAACAGTCGTGTATCCTCTGCCACAGTATTAAGCAGAGCAGCAGACTGCCTGCTCAGAGCTGTAATCCTGTCTGCCAGCTTGTTTCCAAACTTTATCAATGATGTGTGTTAAATGTTTAAACCAGGGTTAGTTTGGCCGAGACATTAACAATAACACTGTCAAGTAACGGACATGGGAGCTTTGTTGATTTTTGAATATTCATTTACGGACTATACATTTGTATATGACCTTCACTATACTGTTACTTAGGTGGAACATGGTCGCTCCTGTCAGTCACGTGGTGTGCGCGCGTGGCAATGGTCTAATGTAAAGAGTGCAGCGGCACGAGAGGCACACGCCACGAGCCGGCCGGTGGCCGCAGCTTCTTCTTCTTTGCTGATGACGCTACATAAGCATGAACTACAAACTGTCCGCGTTAGCATATGGGAGCTAAAAGGTCACGAACTTGAGGGACAAATTCGGTCACAACCCGTCATGACGTGTGCTGCCATGTTACCTCATCAGTACTGGGCTGTAATGGTTCTGGTACTTGGAGTGAGTGGACGCAAAGAATGTGGCCAGCTCGTCATTCCAGTTAACTATGACCGGTGGCTTTTTAGCTAGTTTAAGATTTACCTCAGAATGGCCAGGTGGAGCAGCCATTACACTTCCCCTGGTACATATCTAAAAAAAAAAATCCATTTCACCATGTTATTTATTTGCTTGTCCTCCTTTCAGACTGCTTCATGGTACTGTAGTGTGACCTGCCTTCCTTACATCAGAAAAACATGCTGGAGACCAGGACCCTGATCTCCACTCCAGTGGTCCCACTTAACTACAGCAGGGTATCATGGTCTAATCCGGTGCCTTCTTGACCCCTCCGTTGGTCACCAACTTTCACCACCTAACCCCCCTAAGTCATACCTTTTAGACTTGAGCTGATTAGCCAGTGTAAGTAACAGGATGCAAGAGGCCAGGACACTGGATTAGTTCCTGGGAAAATCAGTTGTAATACCTTCAACACAGGACAGGACAGTGCTCCAGTGTCCTCAACCTCTACAAGAACAACATTGACTTAGCTATTTTTGGACATTTATTAATTCAGGAGCAGAATCCATTTATTTATACAGTTATAATATTGATCAAAGTATCTGACGGTTGCATATCGTTTTTTGTTTAACAATTCCTTCCCCCATAGTATTTGGTTTATTCACCTATTTCTTACAGGCAGTCTAACATGTTTTTCATATAAAGTTTAGGCATAGCCAGGCTGGTGGATACACTGCTTTTTAATTCCATAGTACAAATAAGTTCTCTGTACCAGACAGTTGTGAATTGCTTTCAGCTACACGTTTTGTTTGTTGGAAGTGTGATTCTGGTGTCAGAGGGTTTAAGTGAAAGCAGAGTAGTGTTAAGAGGCGTTGTTGTTTGCTTGCTTGCCGGGAAGAAAAGGCTGTGCCAAACTAAAACAAAGGTTTTGCTTAGTCAAATGCAATACATGTTTAAGATGTTTAGCATAACTGGCTAAAACCGAACCAGTTTTTTCTTTCCAAGGGGGTGGAAAAGACTGCATCACTGTGCAGGCATCAGACATGCAACCACAGGCATATTTTTGGCAATCTAAATCTATCTCGCTAAATCCAATCAGAGAGGGAGGCCTCATGAGCCAGTAGAGTGCCCTAGGGTGCTTTCTCACCATTCTCTTTCACACTGAGAGAGCGAAAGCATATACGCTTGCGTGCAGCACATTATTCCTTTCCTGTGGGAACTTAACTAACTAGCCACCAGGGTCTGTCCAGGGCCAGCCATCTGGGGACACGTGGAGGCAAAGCAGTTTGTGTGAATGCAAGGTTGATTTAGATGCTTCATCTGTGTTCATGTCAGAAAATCTGTCTGTCTTTTTGAACCTTCTCTATTACATGTTTAGGTCAAAGTGAGGAGTATTAGTAGTAATAATAATAATAAAGTCTCTATTAGGAAAAATCTTCTGCATTATCAAATAATAGAGGTTTGAGAAGGATCTAACGTATGACCTTTGACCCCTTCCAGTTGTGCAGCGGCGGCCCATGTCGTCAGTTCCTGGCGGGTCCGGGGAGAACATAGTCTACGCCGTGCTGTGTGGGGGAGCCTTTGCTGGTGCTTTGTCATACGTATGTTGTGTTGTTTCTTGCAGTTCATCATTTCAGCTTCAGCACATTTATTGATACCAACATACATTATGTCCTCAATAAAGGTAATCTGGTAAAATGACACGGTTTGAATGTTTTGTTTGAGGAATTAGAAATAAACAGATTTTTCCTCTCTCCACAGGCATACAGCACTGTGTCCACAGACAGCGCTAGGTTCAATGATCGCATTGCGGAAATCAATGCCAGACCCAAGACTGAGTGGGTACCTAAACCATGGCCACCTAAGGGTAAGTAGTCCTCAGCTGGCGATTGCATTTTTCCTTCAGTTTACTGTAGAGTAGTGGTGATCACAGACCAGATCCCCTCCACTGGCTCACTGATTGTAGTGTGTGAAGTTATTCTCGATAAAACTTCGATCACTTGTTCTTGTTCTGTGGGTACAATCAAGAGAGGGTGTGGATCTGATTGCCAGTTTTATTTTAGATCCACTTCCACATTGGAAGGTCCAAAGCTATTCTTTCCCCTCGTTCTTTTTTATCATCAAGTGGCGAAAGTCCAGTAACAAGCCTTTAAAAAAATCTTTATTTTAGCCAGCAGTGACAGTCAGCTGCTTTTGCTGATTCAAAATGAGAAAGTTGGTCAACAAGAAATAAAATCAGCTGTATGTCATTAATGTTAATTTCATAAGTAACGTTCCTAAAATGGAACTTTGTTATTGTCATACCTGGTCAAAGAACATATGTGAAGGATTGCAAAGGAAAAGCTTGTTTATTTTGTTCAGATCTTTTATAGTGGAAGTTCTAACAGCTTCTTTTTTCTCAGGAAGTTCTTGACAAGCCAAGTTACTGTGACTTATCAGCCATATGCCACGGAAGTCACATTCACTATGTTAAAGCAAACAGCAGATGCGAGGCTCATTAACAGCACTGGATAAAACATAGCGTTGTTATTGTTATCGCTCTCTGCAGCTGCTCACTGTTGTGGGAACTAATCTAATAGTCAATACCGCCCATATGTGAAAGCAGCAGTGTGCTTTGTTCTGCACCATGTGAGGCTTAATGGGTCATCCTGTGGACAGCTCCTGGTGCTGAACTGAGGGCTGACAAAACAGAAGCAGAGAAAAACGTTTAATTTAATTGAATCATATTGTATTTTCTTTTAATAAAAACACAAATGTGTTTAATCAGTATTTAACCACAGTGACAAAAAGGTATTGTCATTGATTTTAAAATCGTTTTTGATTGCAGCGCATATTTGCTCCGCACATTCTCTCTCTCTGTCTGTCTGTCAGTCTGTCGCAAACACGGACAACAGACCCGTCTGAATTGAATGGTTGGTATCATGAACACCGCTGCACAAGTCTGTCCAACACAATGCTGTCAATGTCGGAGACCCATCTTATAAACAGTTATTAGCAAGCACGTAAGGAGCCTAGCTGATAAGGAGAGCTATGTTAACTTTGGAAAACAGCTGTCGAAATTAGCACGCTGTATAACTGGCAGTCTACAGGTGCGTTCGAGAACTGGCTGACTTTCCCCGACTTGATAGATGGGGGAATAAAAACAGCGGCGTCAAGTCAGTGACGTTTTGCAGCGCAGGTGTTGTGCCGAATTCTGCATGCTTGCCATGAATTGCATGCACCTCACGGGAGGTAACGCTCTTTTAGAAAAGAGGTGGATGCAAATCTCGGCAGGTAGCCTACAACATCCGTTTTGCTGAATTATGCATTTACTTATTAAGGTTTTTTTCAGACACTTTGCTGTTCACATTGTTTGAACGCGGTTAACGCCACATGTTTTTGCTGAATCTCAAGAAATGGTAGACTACTTTTACTAAGTGTAATAATATATTAACGATTCTTAACGTTCATTAAATATATGCAGATCATTTATCACTTGATGAACCCCACAAAGAATAGTATAGCGTTTAAAAGTACTTAAAAATACTGTATGCTGAGGAGTTGCCATGGAGCTCTAGAGACAGTGATTCGTGGAAGACCCCAGCACAACCCTTATTCCTGTGCCCTAATCATTTCCTATCAGAAGTGTAGTGCGTTTCTTTAGTGCACATGTAGCCCTCAGTTATTTTCTTTGGCTGCTCTGCCTCACCGTGAGCAAAAAGATTGAGTTCACCCCAAGCAAAGGATTGTGGGACTGTCCCAGATTATCCCCTGCTTATTTGAGCAGCGAGGGAACGTCACTAACCCAACGCACAAATGGAGAGACTCCCAGCTCAGTCTGACAGTCTGTTGGGAGAGTGGCCATCTTGTTGTCAGTAGCTTAGACACACACACACACACACACACACACACACACACACACTCAGTGCCTGGTGTCCTGCCTGTGTATTGTAAGCGTGCTGGTGAAGGGCTTCAGGACTGTCGGCAGTCAAACCAATTTAAATGTTTTTGAAGCCAACCAGCACAATCCCAGGACTGCTCTCAGACTTTTTGTTTGACTGCTCAGTTAGAGTTTCATAAAATCTTACAGATTTGGATAAATAAGTAGACCTGAATGGATTAGTTAACAGAATAGTCCACTGACAGCAAATTACATTTACTCATTCAGCTGACTCTTTTATTCAAAGCGACTTATAATTGTAGAAAAGTATGTCGCCTCTGAAAAAACTAGGGGTGGTGTTATCTTATCCACTGCTCCATCGCCGCCCGGATCCAACAGACAAGCTGAGAATATAAGCGCGTTTGACGTGATGCATGCTGGACATAATAATAAATAAAAATGGACTTTCGCCGACGGAGGCTAGGCTCACATGGGCAACTCTCCTCCTTGTTTACCTAGCTTGACCGAACGGAGCTTTTTCCTGTTTTTTAACGGAGTATCCGACTCTGCCCACATAGCGACGAAGTCTTAAACGAGCTTGTGCCTCGCGTCTGCTGATGTGGTCGCACTTTTGAGAGTTTGTTGAAGTCACCCAGACATAGACAAGTTTTATTTTGGCCTATTTATTGTAAATGACAGTAACCAGCAACCTTTCCTGATTCTGTAACAGAGTTGGGAAAATTCTAAAGAACGAAACCAGACACTTTTTTACTGCTCATCAACTGACTTGTGCCTTCAGACTGACCAAAATGAACAAATTGTAAAACCTGTTAAACGGAAAATGGAACCATACGTTACCTGATTCTTTAGACCGACAGGAAAAGTTCATTTAACATCCCAAAGAAACAAACCCATGGTAAACCCTGCTTTTCTTCACTGCCTATCAACCGATAACCGGTCGAGGCAGATGGTCGTCCACCCTGAGTCTAGGTTCTGCTCATGGTGGAAATTGTTGGGTCTCTGTACATAATGTCATAAAGAGTACAGTCTAGATGACTCTATATGAAAAGGGCAATGAGATAACTTCTGTTATGAATTGCATCTATATAAATAAATATCATTTAAAAATAAAATATAATATAAAATATAAATAAAACTGAACAACTGAGTACTGTTGTTGGCTACTTTGGCTTGTTCCTATGTTGAAACACTGATGTTTCTGTTTGCTTGCAGGCAAGGACGATGCAGAGGGTAAGTCGTGTCAGAGATTTAGCTTTCATTCACTGTCACTGCCTGAGAACGTTCTGAATGCTCACTGACACGTTGGCATGGGCTTGATTGGGCTTTTAATACTTTGACTCTCCCGATTCCAACATTAGTTGCTGTGACAACTCATGATCACACTAATCACTGTATGTCTCTACCACTCATAGTTCCAACATTGGGAAGGAAATTAACCAAATGATGTACATAGAAATGAAAATGTCATCACCTAACAGACAGCTGTCCCAACCAACACAGAAATATGCAATATAAAATGAGGGATAATAAAGATGCCAACCTATTGTATATCACAGTGCCATGTCAAGTAAAATTAAAAAGGGAAACTGAATTGGTATTGTCCAATAATGTCACCATAGTTGTATGAGGTGTCCAAGAACAGCAGAGTAAAGCAAAATAAAAATCGACTTGCAAGCAACTATGTGCATGGTCCATGTACCCGACACAATTGTGAATGAAAGGTCACTGACCCTGAGCGATCGGGAAGCCAAGAGCATCACTGACTAATGCTCAAACAGGTGGTTTCACACACGTTTGTATGCAGGCTTGGGAAGGCTCACATGGACTAATTAAAAATCAACAAATGCAGCGTGCATGAGTGCAGTTATTGAAAATAAATGGTGTAAGAAGAAATCCGCAACATATGACAACATCTTTTCTAAAAGATTGTGATGAAAGTTTTGGGGTGGGTTTTTTTTGGAGTGAAATTGTGGGAATAAGTGAAAACTGCAAAGGTAGATGTTTTGATTTGTTCAACTTGAGAATTATAGTTGAATCATTAAACAGTACCTCCAGGATTTCGCGGACTTAACCCTAACCCTGCATATTGAAACCAGCTTACCTTGATTTTTTTCGGTGCTCCTAATTTACCAGAATGCAACAGCCTGTGTCACAGTGATTTGTCTCGTCTGACGTCTCCCATGTGTTTCTGCTAATCTGTGTGTCAGTAGACAATTTTTGTTATATTAACCATAATACTGCCCGTTTTGCAAAACAAAAACAACTTTTGTAGGCAAATGTGAGATGTTGGTATCAAACATTTTCGCTGCTTGTAATTAGGAAGTAACACACTGACGTATGAAAACATGTTGCGGAAATGGCGATGATTGGTCAAAATTCACACTGGATTCACAAGGATTTGCTATATAGTTTTGATCGCGACAACGCAAAATCCTGGAGGGACTGAATAGAGAGCGCTGGGCAAGGCAAGATTAATCGTATACCACATTTAACAACACGGCAATTCAAAGTGCTTTACATAGAACATAATAGCAGAAAACTACGAGTTAAATAGAAAATAAAAAGGACAGTAAAAGTTACAGAGTAAGATTTTATTCCAAAAGTTCAAATTTGTTTTAATAAAAGATGGCGGCAAACAGAAAAGCCTTGTTCAGTATCAACAGGGTTATAGCAACATCTATAACTGTACACAAGAAATGTCAATAATTGGCAGGTTGTCTTAAAATTACTAAGCATCTCGATACACTCCAGAGGATCCTGAGTTTTCCTCCAGACTGTCAATTTTGTACACATGCCATCTCAATCGAACATTCATGATCTTTCAGCTGGGTGGCTGAAGATATTTCACAAACTTGCTTATAAACAAAGGTAAAGGATTCCCATCCACATCAGTGCAAATTTGAGAGCTCAGCTCCATACACATAGTTCTGATTGGCCTGTTTGACTTTCCTTAGTCAAATAGTGTGGGTCCAACACACTGCATGGTTGATATTTGACTTTGTTAGATCACAGTGGATGTTAATCAGAAGTTTGTCAAAAGACGGGTAAAATAATGAATTCTGCTGAAGATGAACTGCTCAGCACGTTGGATGGAGATGTGCTTGTTCAAAACCTATGCTGGCCATGAAATGCTTAGTCACATTTTCTCTGCTTGGAGATGTGGATAGACTATAAACATGAAAATCTAGTCCCGGATGCTGGAGGCCTCACCTCAGATGTCCTCAGCATATTTTGTATGTGTTCTTTGATAGAGGGCCTTGTTAAATCACAAACCATTACGTTACCAGATACTGTGTACGATATAACAAAAAAACCTTGAGAAGCAAGGTTGGTAGCAAAGTTTTCAAAAATCTCTCAACTGACTTGCCTTGAATTTCAAAACTTCCACTGTGAGCCAGGAGCCACGTTGTTAAGAATGCACAGAAATACAGTCATTATACAATTCAAAAACAACAAATTCACAGGATGCTATAAACGATTGTGATCCCTCATAATCTGTTTGTGTAGCTAAATATTGGCTTTAGTTAAATGCCCGTAGTTGCAGTTCATCCTACTCTGTAGTTTGGGAACATCATGTAGCATATTTATTTACTTACTATATTTATTACCTATTCTTCATGGAGCTTGGCTGTACCTTGCCAAATCTGTCCCATGTTCCCCTCGATCCCTCTTTTCTCTCCTCTCACTCTTCATTGTGTCCTTCATACCTCTTGTATTAGCAGATGTAGGCTAGACTTTAAATAAAAACAATGGACCTCATGCAAGAAGTGAGACAAACTGCTATTTGTAATGTTTTCCTAATGACTTCTTCTCATAGCACACTTGCCCTTGACATCGCCAGCTCATCTAGCTAGCAGCCCATCATATATATAGCTATCCATCATTTGCTAATGTACATTCACATAGACCCTGTGGTTGACTTTAGACTAACTGACATTGTTGTGTAACTTGACCTTTTAGCTTTTTTAAAAAGCTTCCAGTCTCTCTAACTCTTTGTGTCTTTACTCTTTTCAGTGTAATGGTAAATCTAAGGTCCTCAGTGGCCGCATGGATATTCGTCCTAGAACTGGACTCTTTGGATCTGAACCGGAAAACAAAACCCCTCTCTCCTCCTTTCCTCCTCTCCTGTACTGCTATGAAAGAAAGAGTCCTACTCTACTCAGCCTAAAACCTTTTGGACGTTTCTGTGAAGGATATTAATTCTTTTTTTCTGCATTTCTTTGCCTCTTGCTGCTAAACGGTAACGTTTAAATCTGTGAAAGGATACATGGACTTGACAGAAGTATCCACAAACCAGTTTGACAGATGTTTCGTTTGTCCATGGACTATATCAATGTTAACACCATCTGGTTTTGAGTGTTTAAAAAAAATAGCTTTTGTTTGTGAGACATTTGCCAGTTTGGCAATGCTATCAAGCAATGCTATCTATGCTAACACATTAGCATGCACTATTGTGAGTGATAGTAGTTCATTAGCACAAAGGGCCCTGTCAGCTGATGTAGCCGGCTGTGCAGTCAGCACTATCTCGGATGAACACATGTATCTAGTGGTCATTGATATTTATTTCCAGCAGTAAAAGTCCTGTTCATTGTCTGTGTGGAAGGTGTTAGGTGACAATCGGATGACCATTCTCAGTGAAATCATCTTTAGATAATAACTGTTTCTTTGATTAAAATAGTTAACCACAACTCTTACGGTGACTTTTGGTAAGAAACATCTAAGAACTGGATGTCAGAATGATGCTGCACACACTGCTAGCTGCAGAAAATAAAGAAACACAATAATACAATCTTTTTTCTCAATTGCAGCAATGAAGTGTTGTTGAATTTGCACCAGCAGGCAGGCTATTATCACTCCCAATAGTCACTGCAAAGTGTTGAGCACCTGGGTCAAAGTTGATCCTTCAACTTGGTGTATTTTTGTTTATAGTTGATGTAGAACAAATGGAGGTATCTGTCAGTTATGGATTAAAGACGCACAACCTACCTGGGCTGTCTCGGTGTCTGTCTCAGACTCGCTTACAGAGTTCCTGATTACTGATAGCTTATTGGTTGGATGGTAAGAACAAAGATTCAAATTCACCCCCTTACCCTGCACCTTAACCTGCATTCCCTACCCCCCGTCCCCTTGTCATGCTCCACCCTTTTGAGTTTGCATGCAGTTTGTGTAGTAAATGTACCACCTCTGGGTTTTGCAGATGAAGTATTCACTGAGGCAAAGGTAGGGTTTGGAATGGGATATCTGGAAGTAGTACTTCTCGGTCAACCTGCTAGGAAAATATGATCAGATTTAGATAGAGTGATGGTTTGTTTTGGGAACATCCCCCACATTGAGTTCAAGGCATGAGTTGTTGCTCTTTTCAGCTGGCAACAATTACTACTTCATAAAACTCGGAGAGTAAGTTCAAAACACTGTCTGTTACTTTTAGTCTATTTCTGACCAGTGTGCAGGATTTATTTTTCCACACTGGGATTTTTTGAATTGGGTAAGATTATTCATCCTAAAATCAAATGTATTCCCCCCACGTTGTTATAGTTGTTGGAAGTTCCAATAAATGGGACAGCCCTACTACACTTTAATAGGTATTACGAAACATCTTTGTTTCAGATTTTCTCTACATCATTCATCTCACACCTTGGATGGAAAGAGTAATGTTTTGCCTTATTGATCTACACTGAACAAAATTATAAACGCAACACTTTTGTTTCTGCCCCCATTCATCATGAGCTGAACTCAAAGATCTAAGACTTTCTGTGTGTATTTCTCTCAAATATTGTTCACCAAGTTTTGAGGGAGCGTGCAGTTGGCATGCCAAAACTTGCAACATCTGTGGCATTTTGCTTTGGGATGGAACTGCACATTTTCAAGGGGAATTTTATTGTGGCCAGCCTTAGGAACACCTGTGCAATCCCCATGCTTTCTGATCAGCATCTTGATATGCCACACCTGTGAGGTGGATGGATTATCTCAGCAAAGGAGAAGTGCTCACTAACACAGATTTTGACAGATTTGTGAACAATATGTGAATGTCCACCAGAGTGCCCTTGAATTATATGTTCATTTCTCTACCGTAAGACGTCTCCAAAGGCATTTCTGAGAATTTGGCAGTGCATCCAACCGGTTTCACAACCGCAGACCACGTGTAACCACACCAGCCCAGGACCTTCCAGCATCCTTACTTTCAAGGTCATCTGAGACCAGCCACCCGGACAGCTGCTGCAACAATCTGTTTGGGGTGGTGATGGCGCATAGATAAGATGCTTGCCTTTGGTGTGGGAGAACCGGGTTCAATTCCCACTGTGACCCATCCACCACGGTGTCCCTGAGCAAGACACTTAACCCCTCGTTGCTGCAGAGGCGTGCGACCTCTGACATGTATAGCAATTGTAAGTCCTGCTAAATGAATAAATGTAAATGTAACCAAAGAACCAAATATATATAACCAAAGAACTTCTGCACAAACTGTCAGGAACCGTCTCAGGCACAGATACGGACTGATGGCCTTTTATTGTGGCCAGCCTAAGGAACACCTGTGCAATACCCATGCTGTCTGATCAGCATCTTGATATGCCACACTTGTGAGGTGGATGGAGAAGGAGAAGCGCTCATTAACACAGATTTTGTTCAGCTCATGATGAATGGGGACAAAAACAAAAGTGTTGCGTTTTATAATTTTGTTCATTGTACTTACCTGCAGCTTTTCAAACTGCATGTGTCTGTAGACAATACACTCTGCTGCACGAGTGGTAAGTAGATCTTAGAGTGGGTGGCTGGGGATCAGTAGCTGCTTACTGTAGTTAACTGAATGTGTTCGCTCTGTGAATCAAACAATGCTCTTGCTAATACACTCCTCCTTCTGGTTCTTGTGATCCAGGTGGAGAGGAGGAGGAGGAGGCAGCACCTGAGGAGGCCAGTGTCGAGGCCGAGGTTGGCAAAGTAGAGGCCGCTGCTGATGGTGAGGCAGAGACTGTAGTGGAGGAAGTTGCTGAGGCAGTTGCAGAGGCTGCTGAGGTCCTTGCCGAGGCGGCGCCCGAGGTGGCGGAGGTCGTTGCAGAGGTGGCGGAGGTCGTTGCAGAGGCTGCGCAGGAAGTGGAGGCAGCCGCAGAAGAAGTGGCCCAAGTTGCAGAAGTTGTTGAGGAGGCCGCCAAAGCTGTTGAGGAGGCCGCCCAGGCTGTCTCAGAACCAGCCGCCATCACCACTGAGGAGCCTGAAAGCAACGGTACGACTTCTTCATCTGAGGAGGAGGCCGCTGCCTCTGAGGCCTGAGGTTCCACACATTCACTACAGGGAGACGCACACTATCAGACACACACATGACTATCTCTAAACCACTTAAATTAAAACCCTCCCTCACAACACTGGTAACAATAAAACCAGCTGTTCCTCCTCAGGTGCCTGGGTTCACCTCTTACTGATCATTCTCCTTTGTCCTCCTGAAAAGTGTATATTTTTTTTCTCATAGTATTTATTGGAGTCGGTACTAAAGGTCAGCACTGTGTGCAAATTAAGCGTTCCTTCACATAACGATGAGATATTTCTGGTGTGCAGCGTAGATCACTGTATGATGTCTATTTTTTCAGATTATTATGTGGCCTAGAGATGCCATCTTCTCAGCAGGCTCCTCTTGATTTACAGCTGCACACCACAGCGAGTGAGGTCTTTATGTGACACTCATTCGCAGTTATGGGTAAAATAAATGTGATCACTCTGTTAATACCAACGTCGTTTATGCAGATTGGCCCTGATTTTGCACAGTTAATATTACTAAAAACCTGCTCATTATCCTGTGAGGATACCACAAGTCTTATATCAGGTTCAACCAACCACACACAACTATAGAGACATGGCAAGAGTACAAGCAGTAACACCCCTCAAATGCTGTGATAATCGATATGGTATCTTTGTTCTGAAGCCCCTAATGCTATTCTGAGATTTGACAAAACATTGTATTTCTTTAATATCAAACCTCTGTAATGTTGTACTGCTTTGCTAGGTATCACAGAGCAGATAGAGGCCTGTTTATCCTCAAACTGTCGTACAGTTGTGTATATCCTACAGCCAGTTGAGATGGCTCTGAGATTGTGTACAAACTTTGTAACTGCTGCAGTGTGTTATTTTCCCTAAGTGTAATGTGAAACTGTTGGAGGAATCATTAGGTTGCTGAGTGATTCAAGCCATATGTGATCATAATTTTATTTTGCTTATAACTGGATGAGTACAGCACACGGTTTACAGTAATTGAGCCATACAATAAAGCTTCTATCAAACCGGAAAGGTTTACTGACGTCTTTTAATTTGTCTGAATTGGTCTTTTTACAGTAATTTGTATTGTTGCTTTTTAAGGACATTTCTAACTAGACATTTCAGTTTAACAATTATATTATCAGCACCTTTTATTTATTTTTTTCCCACAAGTCTTATATAAGTAACCGGCTGCTCCCGAGAACGTACTGTACTGTCCTGACTCGAACCGGTGACCTCGGGTACGGGAGGCAGACACGCTGATGAGGAGGCTAATACCCATGGGCACTAGCGTCAGTCTCCAGTGCGTCCTCTAAGGTGTCGGGGAGTGAGGTTTACTCAGTGCACAGCCTCGCTGGCTTCCATCACATATACACAAACCTGCCCTTTCATTTAGTGAGCATTTTATCAGGCATCTCCTTCTCACCACATTGTGCATCCAAATCTGCTTTTTATCAGAAATGCACTGGGACCTCTGCATTCATCAAGACACAACCCTTGCTTTTTGCACGGTGCTATCCTTTTAAGGGGTGTATTTTCATGATATACCTAATATATGTCCTATATGTGTTTTGAATGTGAGGTTTTGAATGACTCAGGTCAGATGAATGGTGTTATGCTTCTCATTATTGTCTGTCTCGTTTTTTTTTTAATCTTGAACAGAGAACAATGTATTTTGACTCGGCCGATACTAGTTTTATTTCAGATACTTACTTACTATATGGATTAACATCTTTTTTTAAACTATAAAATGTCCAAACCAGTTCATGCTGGATCTTGACAACGCATCTATAATTTCAGAATGTTTTGTTAAAAACAAATTGGTTGAGATCTCATTATCAAATTCTTTTACCTGAAATATTTATCCCCAATCAAGTATTGAATATGTTGTCAGATTTACGTATTTCTTGCTAAATAATAAATTTAAAAAGAGTTTAAAGCGGTGTATCCAAACCCTGCCAAAATTAATGCCATTATGAATACATGTGCTTTTATCTGTTAGAAAAATATACAGCTTCCTGTAGAATTTCCAATTATGTGGAAGTACTTCATTGGTGTGTGGCACTGCATCAGTGTCTATAGTGACTAACACGGCTTTCCTGTAACAGCTTTGTTTATCTTCACTTTCTTCCACTGCTGGCGGTTGACCTTGCACCTGCATGTTGGCACAATCCACCAGATAGATTTGCTGAAACTAAATTCTCTAACACTACTACGCTCTCACAAATGCCCAACAAGTTACCTTGGCTAACCATCTCAAGTTGTGTAAGCTAAATGTGGAAAATATAACTTGAGCATCAGTGATGTTTGGATGGCTGGATTTTGTGTTGCAGTGCTGCTGGCAACTGCCTCTACTGTAGAGGTACTGAAGACAGCTGAAGCCAAGGAAGAGTTGGCACCCGCCATAGAGGACGCCAAAGAGGAAGAGTCTTCGCCACCAGTAGAAGAAAAGCCTGTTGAAGAAATTGCATCAGTAGAAGAGGCCCCTGCGCCAGTGGAGGTCGCACCAGCAGAAGAAGAGGCCCCTGCGCCAGTGGAGGTTGCACCAGTAGAAGAGGCCCCCGCGCCAGTGGAGGTTGCACCAGCAGAAGAAGAGGCCCCTGCGCCAGTGGAGGTCGCACCAGCAGAAGAAGAGGCCCCCGCACCAGTGGAGGTTGCACCAGTAGAAGAAGAGGCCCCTGCACCAGTGGAGGTTGCACCAGCAGAAGAAGAGGCCCCCGCACCAGTGGAGGTTGCACCAGTAGAAGAAGAGGCCCCTGCACCAGTGGAGGTTGCACCAGTAGAAGAAGAGGCCCCTGCACCAGTGGAGGTTGCACCAGTAGAAGAAGAGGCCCCTGCGCCAGTGGAGGTTGCACCAGTAGAAGAAGAGGCCCCCGCGCCAGTGGAGGTTGCACCAGTAGAAGAGGCCCCCGCACCAGTGGAGGTTGCACCAGTAGAAGAAGAGGCCCCTGCACCAGTGGAGGTTGCACCAGTAGAAGAAGAGGCCCCCGCGCCAGTGGAGGTTGCACCAGTAGAAGAAGAGGCCCCCGCGCCAGTGGAGGTTGCACCAGTAGAAGAAGAGGCCCCCGCGCCAGTGGAGGTCGCACCAGTAGAAGAAGAGACCCCCGCGCCAGTGGAGGTCGCACCAGTAGAAGAAGAGGCCCCCGCGCCAGTGGAGGTTGCACCAGCAGAAGAAGAGGCCCCCGCGCCAGTGGAGGTCACACCAGTAGAACAGGCCCCTGCGCCAGCAGAACAGGTCGCACCAGAAGAAGAGGCCCCCGCGCCAGTGGAGGTCGCACCAGAAGAAATTGCACCAGTTGAGGAGGCCCCCGCAGCAGTAGAACCTGATGTTACCACAGCTCTGGCTGAAGAACCAGTCACCACCACAGTTGTGGAAGAAGTTGCTGCACGCCCTACAGCTGAAGTAGCTCCTGCGGAGACCCTGGCAGAAGGTCCCAAGAAAGAGTTCATTGTTGTGGTTCTGGAAGGAACACCTAAAGCGGAAAAACGGCCCAAGGTGCTGGGAGTAGGGCCCATGACTGGTAAAATCATCCCAGGTCCAGATGATGACGATGCCCCTGCTTCTGAGGTACCAGACTTACTGATAAATTGATCTCAGATTGATGAAATATTTCCATGTCTGGACATTGATCAGTAGAGGTGACCAGAGCACATTTGTCATATGTCCCAGCCTTGGTTGTAGAGTTTAACAGTATTTTAAGGACCAGTTGGAAAGACCATCTTTTATTATCAGGATGCCTAAGGATAACTAGATATGTAATGAAATTTTCACCCCTGCTTGTCTTAATCAGTGTGGGCTTCAATAAAACCACTCTAACATTGGTTTCCAACTTTATTCAGGGTAGGCGACGTCTTCTTAGGATGCAAATGCAGTAGTTTCAACTAAGGTACTGAACCTTTTATTATTTTTACTATGGTAGAGTAGGCTGCAGAAACACCCCTACCCTTCATGTTCACATTCTTTATACATCAGGTTGACTTTCGTCTTTGTCTTCCATCACAGTAAACTTCTCCTGAATGACTTTGTCCTGCAAAAGAAGAGGATGTGCCTTTCTCCAACGCTTTCCCTTTCTCCTTTTTACCCCTAAAAACACAACAGACTAATACGTAGTTCCAGTGTAAAGATACACAGAGTATGTATTGCTTAGAACATGCCAGCTTAATGGAACGGTCATCCCATCATATTAGCAGTGCCCATATGGCCCATTACTGTGACACTCCCCACTGACTTATATGTCTTGACTCAGAGATCCCTGATGAGCCCGGTCAGTAGCTGAACAGATGTCTGGTTTATCTTTTAGTTGCCTCACTAACAGTTTTTGTAACTTCGTAACCTGCTTACTGCTGAGCCATTCACTCCAACCCATGTTTACTGCCTCAAGAATCACCCCAGTGGAATACATTGAAACTCCTCACCACATCCAGTTAACCCAGTCACTGCCCAGCCACTTGGGGTGTGAGCTTACAGTGTTATATCTTAAAGCAAGGAGTGTTTTGAGTCACCAGCATTCTTTACAGTACCTGACCTCAGGTTTTTTTCTTCTGCTTCTCGGTGTGAAAATAAGCAGCAGGAAACACTTGCTATATTTTATCTTTATGAAGACACCTGAGCACGCTGGTTCAGCAGCCCATGTACTGTAGCTACCGTCCTACCTCAGTTTCTCCTGTTCCAGTCTTTAAAATGACCCCTCGTGATTCTATCACAGTGTTACAGTTCCCAAGCCAGCAACACACTTGCTAAGTCACTAACTACAATAAGCTGTACTATGATCACAGACACCTGTGAAACTAAAGGTATTTACAGTTTTAAATGCTTGTTAAATTGTGAAACAAAGAAAACTGCTCTCATCGGGTTAAAACTCTAAAGCATATTTCACTTCTGGCCACCCAGTTGGTGATGTCACAGCAGGTATTTTTCCCTTCACAGCTGTTAGAAAAGCTTTTCTTGTTTTGTTCTAGCAGTGAGTCCCATGTGGATGTGTAATGTAAAGGCTTGCAGCAAGTATGAACAGTCATGATACTGATGTGCTGGTGTGACATGAAATGTGTGTTTGGAAAGCGAAGCAGTATGTCTGAAGAGAGGTCTGTGAAATGCTTTGACAGCTCTGTAGTCCGCTCTTCCTTGATTCCCTCTTTCAGACTTTCTCACTTTTACTATAGACTTCCTGGCTTTCTCAGCTTGGCACATGGTCATTGAAACAGATCTGAAATCACTGGGGGGAGAATCGGTGTTGGTATGTATTTTAATAATTAGATTCAGAAAATTACACTCCTTGGTGCTCGCAAGCAGGTTTCTGTAATAGGATGTGAGTGAATGTCTTTGACTTAGCAAAGGACATAAACTGTGACTGTTCCACATATTATTGTTTTTCTTGGTTTTGCAAAATAAAAAGGGATAAAACTGGATTTTTGTCTGCGGTGTTTTTTTTCCCCCAAGAACACTTGACCACTTGACTTAACCTAGGATGACATCATAGTGTGTGTGCTGTAAAGTCACAAAATAATGTGCAAGAAATAAAGTTCTGACTTTATGTGTAAAAAATTAAAAAAGATTTTTAAGATAAAAGTGCTTAACACCTTGAGATTGGTGGGCAGTGTGAGTGTGGTTACTTGCAGGTAAAAAAAAATTTTTTTTGTTTCCACTTAACCAGAATAGAAAAAGTTTAATGTACACTGGTGTGAATAAGTGTTTGCCCTATTCCTGATTTATTTATTTATTTATTTATTTTTGCATATTTGTCACACTGAAATGTTTAAGATCAAAAAAATATTAGACAAAGATAACGCAAGTAAACAGAAAATGCAGTTTTTAAATTAATGTTTTCATTAATAAGGGGGAAAAAGTCCAAACCTACATGGTACTGATGTTTTTTTACAAGCAGCTTCCAATATGGGGCTTTTTTTTCCCAATCGTTATTCAAGACCATGGCCTTTAACTTTGAGAGGATGACTCATCTTAGGTGAGTCAGATGGCATGCAAGCTACAAACATGCACAGTGGCACTAATGCTCCACGCGTTGTTCATTGCCTTATTCTCAGAGATTCAAGGGGGGTCTACAAACAAAATATTCTGTGAATAAGCAAGTCAGCTAGTGTTACCAGAAGAACGTCATTATCTAACATGGCTACAAGCGCTCCCTCGGAAAAAAATAATTTGCTAGTGTGTCCTGGTGGTCACTCTCCATGAATTGAGTCATTTGGCTGTCCCTGTGGGCTCCCAAAGAAGGGTCGTAAAGGCAAACCTGTATGTTCGCCGACGTACAGCGTACTACATACACGATCAGTATTCACTGTGTACTAAAACAACTCACTTTTCCATTACCAGCAGACTGTTCACACTGAAATACCTTCACTGTATCGATCACAACATTACCGGTCCAAGCTACCACTGAATGAAAATAGTTTATTACATATGTAAATCAATACGTTATCCTGTAAAGTTTACCTAAAGCAGCACTTAACTACAGAGAATTAATGTGAACAGTAGATAGAAATGTTGCTGCAGTGGTCTGTGTGACTGTGGGGCCAGAGGGTCCCAGTGAGCTGGCCGGCTGGCTGGCTTGCTGGCTAGCTCCCCCTGCAGGTGCTCATAGAGCTTCTAAACTCCAAAAAAACGTTGGAGCACATTTTCAATTTGCCATAAATTTTTGTAAGGGCGTCACATACCGACGATTTGAGAAAGAGTGACAAAGCTATTAAAGTTATTTGAGTGTGCGTCTCTGTGAGACGCTCGGGGGCGTCCTGTACAGACCGGAAGTGCTAGTTAGCTAGCGTTAGCTACGTTCGTGATAAAGGTGTTGACAGCCCCCCGAAGCCCCTACCCTTACCACAACCGTCAGAAATGTTAGTACCTAAGTCACTGACTTTATGCATGTCGACCGGCTAACCCTACAGCTGCGCACATTGGCCGTGCTAACAGGTAGGGTTAGCCTCCCTTGTGTTGCTGCAACGTAGCAAACGGGGGGTTTCAAACGGACGCTGCAGGGTACCTTTAGCTTTGTCACACTGTTATGACAGTTATGTAGCATTGAGATGAGAATGTGTTGAACTGCCATTGTTTGATATCTACACAGCTGATATCTCGGCTGAATTCTCAGAAATAGCATGTGAAAATTGTAAAAATAATAACAATAAAAATAATAATTTTAATTTAAAAAAACTAGTGTGGTGCTAGAACCAGCTACCTCTCCGTAAACCATTGGACAGTCTGAAGAGACCCAATGCATTTGGGGGCAGATGAGCATGTCCAGTAAGCTCATGTAGCGTACGGCAGAAAATGTAATCCACGCAATGGCCTTGAGTAAGAGGCCGCTGACCGACCTGCTGCGGGAAGAGGATGAGCAGCTTGAAACCAGTAAGTTTCTACTGTTCTGTAGTAACTTAGTAACAAGTTAAAGGCTAAGCTTGTGTACCATCAAATCAAGACAGTAGTAGTAGATCCGATCACATCGCTATAACCAATCCTGCTTCAGACTGATATTGGCACCACCCACTCAATTTACATACAGACACAGAAATAAATAAATGTAGAAATATATGAATTGTATACATATATTTTAAAATAAATATACACATAAAGAAATGTATTTATTTATATATAAATAAATACATGTAGAAATGCATAAATGAATGTAAAAATACAGAAATAGCTTTTTTAATTACCAAAATGTATTTATGTTTTAATTATTTATTGCTGCATTTATTTATTTATTTATACTTATGTCATATCTTGTCCTTTATACTCCCATTACAAGTAAAAGTCCTGCAAGTAAGTAAAATTGAATTAAATAAAATTGACTTCAGTGAGTAGTGTTATATTATTATAGGACCTTGGTCCTTGATTAGTTTGTGTGTAAATCGTGTGACTCGTTTTAAACCCTTTAAAACACCAAATTCACACAATTACACCAACAAACAAAAACAACAAGTCATACAAATAAACAAATAAACAAAGGCAGCGGTAAACTCCCGTGTTCTTACATTACTGTTTTTATCAATGGATTTGGTGGGTTTAATGAGAGCGATACAGCGACTGTTTCTGGTTAACCAAAAAGGAACTTCTTTAAAAATGGGGGATTTAGGGATCCTTACCATAATGGACCAGTTTCAGAAATCTCTCGCACAGACACACTAACATGGGAAAATAGGGTACTGATAGAAACAAAAACAACCTCAACAAACATTTGACTACGGAATCAATTATGTTATTTATTTTTTTAATCGGTATGTCTGTTGGTGTTTTATCCCAGAACATATTTTCCAGAGTAAACGTTGATCAGGGCACGCTCAAACAGAAAGTAACGACGAGCCAGTTTGTCCTCGTGACGTCACGGCGGGCTGTGCTTTGACCCGCTGGATCCGTTCGTTGTAGCGAAGAGGCGGCGCGCCGGAAAGCTACAGGACAACAAGAAGCGAGCACTAATCAAAACGCAACTTCAGGGCCTGCATCCGCGTTCCCTTTTTACATTTCAACGCGGGTCGTCGATAGGTATCCGCAAAGTGAGTTTTTAGGGACGCGGGACTTCCAGACACGTGTTTATGCAAGCGAAGTGAACGTTTTGGCCTCGTTAACTTGGCTAACGTTAGGCCCAGCTAGTGCTAGCTGTGGAGCTTACTTTTCGCTAGCAAAAGCAAAACAAGGTAAGGGGAAGAAACTCGTTGCATTAACATATCAGCAGGCTGTGATAGACCACGAGCCCCAATACAGGTGTCAGGATTTGCTCTATTGTCCAGTGAGTGACAGTGGACTCTTTTGACTTTACGTTAAAGACGTAACATTATATGTGTGTATATTAGCTAGCTATCTGCTAACTGTTTCGAGCTCAATAACTAACCTCAGTTCTAGCCATGGCTAAGTTATTGGGTTGTGGGTGATCTCCCTTTTGAAATAATGCTTTAATTGATTTATATGGCATTGAATATGTGGCGTTAATAACAAAGTGCATAATTTTAGCAGCAGCAGTAGTAGCTGAGTTGATTATGTCTTGTTAAATAAGTAACTTAGCAGAAGCATTAGCTAAGTAGTTAGCTGGACAGTTTGGAGCTGCAGACTCAGTTAGCACACAGACGTTCAGACCCGCTCATAAAGTAAACATCAGCCTGTGTGGTGAGCGTGCTTAGTGCCTGCCATCTCCTCAAACCAACCCGCAGTGTCACACTCTTTTTGTATACAGTTTAAGGTCACACTGGCAGTATTTCTGTTTTGAATCAACCTTAGTCGTGCTGGCATTTAGCCAACATCACGGTTTCCTTCTTTGCACCCGCAGTTGCATTTATTCAGGGAAACTCCTTCCAAAATCTGCATTTAACTGAGTGTTCAGCAGTTTAGTTTTCGTACAACTCGTATATAAGTTCAAACTTTCTGAAAGTGTTTCTCGATTGTCTTCGTCTCAGTCTTAACTCACCACAGTACACCACAGAAGCAGCATCATATGTTTTAATGTTATTGAAAAATCAAATTGAGTGTTCTCTAATGAACGCCAGGTAGACAGGCGTGTAAGCTCTGCAATCGAGCAAACACTGTTAGTCCTAAGTTTAATTCGAATCCAGCGTTTTGGTTATAGACCTGTGAGGCTTCAAACTCACAATAAGAATCATCAACAGTTCACAACTATTCTGGCCAATCAGTGGGAACACGTTTCCAAATAATAGCAAAGTCAGGAGAAGGAACATGAGGCAGACCATCTAAATACATCCTGCATAGTAGGGATGCAAAAATAACCCTTTAACATGCTGAAATCTGATGTTTTTAGCTAACTAAAGGCATTTTGTAGAATTTCAGCATTTTCAACAAATGTATTTACGATGTTATTGAAATAAAACAGCCGCTGTTGTTGGATTTAGCATTAGAGAGGAGAGGAGGTAGAAGATTTTAGACTGGACTGTGACGAGGTGTGCTTTACTCACAACTCCACAACGTTACTAGGACCAAGTCATGAGGAGAGCGGCAGCCCATGGGGCTTTCACATGACCCCGCCTTCTGCACACACTCTCTCACACACACTCCAGACTTGCATATCACTGACATTACCAAATCATACTCAGAAATCCTTCAGCTCACTTATGTTAGCAATGCTTCTTCTTCTCCATCCTGACCCCCTGTGCTTTTGTTTTGGTAGGAATGAGTGATGACCTCTGTGGTTGTGTCAGATGGTGGAGGGAACATAGTGGAGTACGTCACCGTAGTAGAGGAGCCCCAGCAGGTAAGCCTGTTTATTCTCACAACTGCTGTCAAGGCAGTCAACAAAGCCCTGTGATGGAAACGTTGTAGAAACAGAAGAAGAACAGAGTAGAGTGAATTCATCTCAGCTCTGTGGTGGACCTGGGCTAAAGGGAGTCCATGAAGGCAGATTTGCAACAGTCATCTTACCGCTACTGATCAGAGAGATCAAAATAGTTACTTATAT